TCTTAACGTTTGTACGCAAAATTCGGCCAGAACTCAGAGTAATTAGGAAACAGCTTAACGTTCAATGACCCAAGGAAAAAAGAAAAAAAAGGATGACCGAGATTGCGTTAGTTCATAAGTAGCTCTGGTTGAAATGATGAGATGTAAGTCTGTACGCGTAAAAGTCAGGCTACCAAACCACCGGTCCGAACCAGTTAATCAGGGTTATTAAGAAACTCAGTTACTCTTCGTATTTACAATGTACGTATGGTTAAACTTCTTGTTAGTTATTTTCTCGCTACACTATAACAAAGAAAACTATGTCGCGGTAAATTAATAAAATTGGATTTTTTTAATTTTATATCTCAAAATATTGTTCCAAAATGTTGTTCATTGAGTAAACGTTTTAATCTACCGATATCCACTAATAGGGAACTTCATCAGGGATCGTGTGATTTGGTTAAAATAAGACTCAATGAAAGCATTAATAGACTAAACAAAGTAGTTAGAACCCAAACCAGTCTTATGCGATCCCTTTCTGAAGAACAGAATAACTTGGCGGACACATGATAAGAAGCTCTGGAACTTAGAAATTAAAATAAGATCGAGAGATTTTGCGCAAAAATCAAGTCGTAGTAACCAAGTTTATGAAAAACTGGTGAACGATAAGGTAAGCAATTTATCCAGTACAACTCTGGAGGATAGTGTGCAACTTAAATGATACCAACATGTATACGCCATTAATGAGAGATCCGAGGATAGAACTTAAGACTAGGCTAAAGGATGCTCTTAAGGTATGCGTAGTTAATGTTGAAATGGTGAAGTGGAAAATGAATAAGATTGAGCGTTTCGTTCTTAGTTAAGATTCTTAGCCTGTGCATGAGTGGCACCCATTTTACCTCTGATGGTAAGTTATATGAACAAATACAAGGACTTGCGAGGGGATCTTGCTTAATTCCTATCTTGGCGAACAATTATATGGCAAGACTGGAGGAAAACTTTCAGGAAGAGGCAATTCTAACTCCTAAATCGTTGTTTGATACATGAATGACTATTTTGCCATCTGGTCTCATGGTAAGGAAAGCCTAGATAATTTCCTACTTTGACTTGGCCAACCTGAAAGAAACATTAGTTTCGCAATGGAAATGGAAGAAAATGGAAGCTTATCCTTTTTGGATGTTTTGGTTATTAGAGAAGAGGGTGAGTTGGGAAACTATGTTTATAGAAAGAAAAATATGTTGTCTTTTTTCAAAATATTTTTCCAACTATAGTTACAAAACAAAGGTCGAACTTTTGAAGTCAATGTTTATCAGGAATATGAGACTAGCGAATAGTGACCATTTGGTTAAAGCGTTGGAAAGGCTAAAAGTTTTATCCCTGGAAAATAATTATCCTTTGGCCATAACTGAGAATAATATCTCTTTCTCGAAAATTGGCGAACTAGTCAGAAAGGGGGGGATAAAAAGGTTATTTAAAGAAACCTTGACACCTTCGGTTATGCCATGTTTTAGGGGGAAATATGACACGATCGAGATCAAGTTGCTACAAGATTGTGTGCTTCTGTGGTCGAGCTTATGTTGATGAGACATGCCGGCCTATTTGACAAAAATTGAGAGAACACAAAATGCTTGTAAAGGAAGCTGGATACAACAGTCAGAAGTGGCCGAACACGTAGTCCGGAGACCGGAGACCGGACAAGGAGATAGAATTATCAACAACGAGTATTTACATGCCTACATACTTACATACACACACTTGAGTGAAAGCAGCATGACCAACATGAAGGATAATTATGGCATGCCTGCTGAGAAAAGGGTAGTTAAACTCTAATGATTCTAGACTGAGAGGTTAGTACAGGTGGTTTCGTAACTTGACTTGCACACACTTACAAGCTTACATCTCATTATCTCAACCATACTTGCTGACGGACTTACGTAGTATCGGTCAGGGCTTTCTCTTGGGTCATTAAGCCTTGATGTTCAGAGTCTAACATTCGGCTTTTCTAACCATTCTTATTTAGAACCGGTAATGCGTATACACATTAACAAACACACACAGACACTAGAGAAAAATAGCAGGACCAACAAGAAAAATAATAAGCCAAACTACTCTATATCTGTTTATGTCCATTGAATTTTTTTTGCAAAATTGAGTCTATATAAGAGGTAAGATAAAGTCAGATAGTCTTTATGACCTACTGTGAAATTGGGACTTTTATAAAAATCTGATGATGATATGAGATGTATTCACCCTATTTCGTTTAAGGTGATGAAGAACTGGTAGTATAATTTTCCCATAATGATATGAGTAGAGTTAACATTTACATTCAATTTCGCATAGACTTGCTTTCTCAAGTGGCCCTCATCCAGGATGGACTGAAGTTTCGACCTCGCCTAGGTATTATGCTGTTGCTGAGAGTAATCATACTAATGATGAATATAATGATGCTGAGGATAGTGGAGATAAATATTATGCTGCTGGTTATGATGATGATTATACTGTTGCTGCTGCTGATAATAATAATAATAATGGCGATAGTGATTATGATTAGTAGTCGTAGTCGTAGTCGTAGTAGTAGTGTTTGTATAATTTGTATTATGTTACTGATGGTGGTAATGATGGTGATGGACGAATGCTCAGCCCATTTTTAACCAGAAACGAGACACGATGTCTCGTGTACTGCGTCAGCATAGACGTCGTAGTAAAGGCAGGCGGCTTTAGAACAACGCGAAACTACCGTCGTCTTCCAGTAAGACTAACCCACAAATATCTTCTTTATGCACTTTGATACAAAATGATAGTCAACCAACTATGTTATCTCAGAGGAATGTTGGAAACCCAGTTACTGATCAAACAAGGGGCCAAGCGCGTGGGATTGGCTCGAGGCAATAGTGGGAAATGCGTTAGGCAGACGGGTAGAATTGGCTAGTGTGGGCGTATCTATGCCATCATACATACATACACATACACACACACGCATTCACCTGGCATTGGGTCGCCAAGTCGGCCGATGGTGTCTCCAGTAGTCTCTGCCGACTCGACGGCCAACCTGTCGGTCCGTCAGACCCGGACGCAGCAGTTTCAGACCGGCCTGACCAGCTCTAGCGCCACCAGGCCGGCCCGTTACCACATGGTAACCGGAGTCAGAGGCGTCCACAGAGGACAGGCTCGAAGCCGGCATCCATGGCTGAGAGGTGAAGAGCCAACGATCCTCGCTGAGCTGGGCCGCTGCCGTCGAGTTGGCCAACCAGCCCGAGCCGGTTTGCCTTTCCTGCGCCTCGGAGACCGACCCGGCGGCACAGGTCGGTTGCCAAGCGGCGCCTGTCGAGTGGCCTCCGGTCGTCGAGGTCAACTGGCCACGCGCAGGCTCCGTCAGCAGATCGGGCAACACGCGCAGCCGGTGGCCGCAGTGCAGACAAACCGACGAAGCTGCTGCAGACCAAAAAAAAGAGAGTGAAATATTTCTGATTGCATAATGACGGACTGTCTCCACGTGGATGGAATGCACATGTGCGATCATTTAGACGTACCTCTGCCGAGTGTTGTAATGCCTAATCTTGAACACACCCGTTGTCTGTAAGCGAACAATAAACCAGGTACATGTGAGATGTATGAATCTTAGTTTGCCGAAGTGATGATTGAGACATAACATGCAATTTCGAAAAGTCGGTTGGAAGGAATCCGTGATGCTGTTTCATCAGAGCAAGTATACGTACTTTACAAAATTAAGCAAAAATATGCTAAATCAGAAAAAAGGCGGCCAACTAAAACCCTAATCGCTTCTTCTGCACACCCAACCTTGCGATCTCGACGAAACATCTCAGGATTTGGTTGGTTAACTCCAACTGACTCTGCATGCTTGCAGACGAGTGAGGCAATTCATGCATGGAAGTCGATCCGATGGCAGCAGTTTTCTTACACAAATAAGTAAGCCAGCGAAACGTCCGGGAATGTACCGCGTCCACGGTCCGACTTTGGAAATGATTATGCATACAATGGACTCAGTATAAGGTGCGTTCCTATGCGTCTTCCTACCAATACGACCAAGTTGCGAAAACAAGGTCAAACAACTTCTGTACAACGAAAGGAGACTGCGACCACAAAAAGGCCACACCATCTTGGTATTTTTACTTGCAAGTACTTTTTACTTATCTTCTTACCAGTATTCCTTACATTCAATGCATTTCCTATTCGGCTTATTTCTATGGCTTCTCTAATTTAACGTTTAGCCGCAAACATACCATAATCAGCAAAACGACAAGTTTG